ATACTGCTTTGCGGTCTTCCTTGACATAGGGAAAGCATTTGATAGTGTCTGGCACAAGATCCTATTATGGGAATTAAAAACCGCACTTCCTTTTAGTTATTTTCTAATTCTTCAACCCTTCTTTGTTAACAGGTTTTTCTGTGTTTTCGTAGATTCTCCTGATTCCTTTTTCTTCCTTCAACACATTGCCGTACCCGAAGGTGTGTCTTAATTCCGATTCTATATTCGCTCCCTGATCTCTCTAATATCCCTGAGCACCCTGGCACCACCATACATTGTTTTCCTGACAACACTGCAATTCTATCTTCTCACAAAAATCCTACTATCAAATCAATTTCCCTTCAAAACCACCTCTATGATCTTCATTGTTGTTGTTTGAAAAATGGAAAATTAAAATCAATGGTAACAAATCCACCCACGTGACTTACTGTCTTAGGAAAACCTCATTTCCACCCTAACGGTTGACAATATCCCAGTGCCTTCAAAAAACTATGTACGGTACCTCGGACTCTACATAGATAAAAGACTTATCTGGAACATACATCCTAAATTACAGTAAGAACTGACTAGACGATACAACCAACTCTCACATCTTTTAGACTAAGATCCTCACTGAACTTAAGCTACTGATCTACAACACCATAATGAGACCAATTTGGACATACGGAGCAGAATTTCGGGGTTCTGCAAAACACACACACACATGAACAAAATATAAGTAACACAATAAAAAATTCTACGAGAAATTGTCAACTCACCTTGGTACATTTCAAATAACACTATACATAACGACTTGAACATCCCAACAGTGAAATTCTACTTCCACATCATTTCACTCTTCAATTCTAAATCACTTCTATCCATTAGTCCTTTATATTTCCTGCTCCCTGCTACCTGCTCTTATGGTCAAGGAACCTACTACAATAATTAAAAAATGAAGCTAATCAAGAAAACTAGCAGCAAATCCCTAATATATCAAATTTGCTAGGTGCTCTGCAGCACAGTTGCAAATGGTACAAAATATTAAAATAAATGTAATTGTTTGTTATCTTAATGAACTGTTATGAATAGTTAACTATGTTCATGTAAAACTAAAGAAAACAGAGCTACATATCACTCGTTTTTCTTCAATGTAATACTTTCAATGTAAAGTTGATATTTATTATAATGATGATCATAGTATTCGAAAAATAGTTCCCTTCATACTTAAACAAAAGATCGTTTTTAATTTATTCTTTAAATTGTGTAGAAAATAGTTTGTTTGGATGAACCAATGAATTGGTTGTTTTCCGTTTGATATGTACGGGGAAACACCGGTAAAATTTCAGTTCCTCACAAGACTGAATGAAAAGGAAGAGCAGACCTGGATGCATCGCTGATGGAAGCACTGACCAAGAAGATGAGGAGACCGAGGAAATAGACCGCGGAAGAATCGCTTACTCGGTTAGCGGGTCGTTACAGCCTTACCGAGCTTTAGCTTTAGTTTGCTTATTCACCATTTTCATATCGTGGGTGTTTGTATGAAATGTTTTAAAATCGTTCTGTTTGAAAAAAAAAAAATAATGAAAACCAAATAAAATTTAGGGAGGGAGATGAATCAAAACAAAACCTAAATAATCGTACATAAATTAAATGTTTAAAAAAAATATTAATGCTAAATATTATTATCATGAGATATTTGTGTATTTAAAATCTGTTAGAATTAGTAGTTGAACGTTTGGACTTTATTAGTATATTTATGTGATTAAATTATGTGATTAAATATTTCTTATGTTTTTCGATTAGTGTCACATAAATATGTATCAATGAAATGATTTATTTTATTTTTTTGTAATATTAAGGTAGTCTACGTTCTGCCAGGAATTATCTCAAATTTTAATGTTATTTGTTTTGTTTAGTTAGGGTTTTGTAATGTATGCCTGGTTTATTTATACTGGTGCAGGGTCATTTTGTCCAAAGCAGTGGTTAAAACGTTTATGGAAGTTTGTTATAAAATTTTATTTCAGTATTTTCCATGAAAACTTTTAATTATAATTTCTAAGGAACTTTTTGAAATTAATGTTCTAAGCTTATAGTAAAAGCTTAGTTTTTATTTATTAAAGTCATTTAAAAAAAAAAGTTACATTAAATGAGAAAAAACACTAATTGGGCTTAGAATAGAATTATGATTAATCTTAAATAAATTACTTTACTCTAATGTGTCGTTTCTTTGTATAATTAAGAATAAAAATATTTTTTTAGATTGACGTTCTGATAAAATAAACAGAAAGTATAAATATTGTTTTTGTAAATTTAAAGTTCTGGAAAACCTTTACTTGAACAGTTGCAAATCAAATAGTCCTAGCTCCGAAATAAGAGGAAAAAAATGAAAATAAAGACTCCAGTAATTACAAATCTAAAAGAAAATTTAATTTCAAGCCCTAGTCGAATGAAAAATTTAGTATATTCTGATAATTTAACTTCTCTGGTAATTCGATAAATAACTGTTGTGATTTGGTAAACAATATCTCTGATATTTTATCCTTTTGTCATTTTTATTTATTGATAGAAGATAATACTAAAGTATTTATCTGCACTAGATATAATATAAAACCTTTTTACGGCTCTCAGGAGCGATTGTGATCTGAATTTTGATTGATGAGGTTTCAAACGAAAGACAATTGAAAATAAGTGATAAAGTTTCAAAATTCAGATGGATTCAAAAATCAATGAAACGAGACGGGATACATACTGTTTTAATGGTTTCGAATCTGATATCAACACTATCATCCTCCGTTTTCTAAAGCCTAAAAATGTACTGTTTTCCAGCTAAAATCGTAATTTGTTCCTATAATCTCTTAGATTTTAAAAATTAAAATGTTCCTCTTTATAATAGCCTTCGACAAACTAAAAATCTGTTGAAAAGGTAAAATGGAGGATAATAGAGCTTTGATCTTTTCGGTACTTAAAATAATAAAGAAATGATCTTTTTGATGTTTTTAATAAATAAATAAATAAATCCAGGCGGCTTCAAGACCATCAGTAATAGACTTATATTCTCTTTCCATACAAACCACTCCTGCTTTATATTCTGCCGAGCTTTTCTGTTTATAAAGATGTACAATGTCTTCCTCAGTAATTTGTGATAGTTCTTATTTTTTCTAATTAATCCTCCAAGACATACTGTAACTGGTATTTTTAGTTAATGATTTCACTGTTGATATTATTTGGGAGATCAACTATAGGAAATAAAATAAAATATATTCGTCGTTTTAATGATTGTAAAATATGATTTGATCCATTTATTTTTAGTTACCTCACAACATATATTAAGGACTCATTTTATTCTTATTGCATGGGTGGTTTACAGAAAAGTAATTATGCTTAAAGCTTTATTTAAATATTCTTTGGAAAATTGGGTCTACACAAAAAGTCACTTCTCCATCAAACAAATAATAAATGTTTGCTATTGCTTAACTATTAAACTGGAGGGATATTTTCCAGTGGGACCTGTCCTACGTAGGGTAAGCGCACCAAAGCTAAGAAAATGTGTGTATTTTTTGGCTGATGCCGCCGTAATTATTAGAGTTATAAACTTCCCCGTTGGACATTTAAAATTTATAGGGTCTCCTTTTTCTATTTAAAACTTTTAAATTAAAAATATTTACGGCTATGCAGATATAATCTCCATTTAAAAAAAAAACACCTTTTTGTACTAATGATGGACACCCCGAAATTCAATTGTTTTAATAACAAGCAGAGGGTCGATACCAATAATATTCATACCTCAGAATAATTCTAAAATCTTTATTTAACTATAAAGATAAGATAAGATAAATGTTCAACTTACTCTTAGCTAGTGTTGCCCAAAATTGTTCTTGGTCTTGCACTTTGCAGAACAAGACCAGGAATGCTAAAAAAAAATCGATTTTTTAAATAAAAATTAAGGCAAAATAGTTACTAATACTCGACAATCTTGTTACTATATCTTAATAATTGGTATAAACAATATAATTTTGCATTTAACTCCTCTAATTTTTCATTCGGGCTTATTAAGGTTTCTCCTATCTAAAAAAATACAGTAGTATCTATAGTAATAAGCTAATAAGTAACTGCAAGATGGTTGTGAGACTCTTGCGCAAGACCAAGACCATGACCAAGACTGAGTTTGCAAGACCAAGACTAGTCTTGGTTTCGCATTTGGGCAACACTACTCTTAGCAAAACTGTTAGTAGGAAGGTATGAAACACATTTATCTCAAGTGCACTATGGAAACACCAATGACAGGCATTTTAAATTTTCTTTTAGGATTTTTTTTCACACAATTGTCAATGAGGGACAATGTTCTTCAATCTAGAAGAAACTGTAAACTTAAAATCAACATCGTACTCATCAAAAATATACGGTATCGCTAAAAAGACCCACCTACAAAAACTTCAAACGTTCCAATCAAAATTATTGCGACTCATAACAAAGCTCCATCAGTTGACCACCATATAACGATCCTTTATCAACGATTTTACACAAATTTAAACGGACATATTAACAGACTAATAAGAGATATGGCCACAGCTGACATACCCCAGAACATGAGGAGGAGACTAAAAAGGCGTAGGATGAGAGATCTCCTTCCTCTAACAACCTAAGTTAGGGAAGTGGTACTGCTAAGTACTTTCCTTCCCCATACCTTTCATGTCATTATTTCATGTTCTGTCATCACATTTGCTGATTGTCAACAATAAGTTGACAGACGCAAATATATCGTGTTTCGCTGTTGTTGTTTTTCTGTCGAATGCGTTAGGGAGATAAATAGTTATGAGAGAAATTTCACTGGGGTATACTAGTTTAAAAAAAAAAAGAAAAAACCTTTACAGCTTATAAAAAATTAAGTTAACAATTAGCGATTATTTAAGAGCAATTAATTAATACAATTGAGGCGATAATACTAGAGAGAGTGGGACTGTGGCCTGGCCCCCACCGCGGCACTGCCGCGCCAGTACGGGCCAGCTCCTCATCGGAGTATGTCGTCCATCGTCTACATCAACGGGCCCCTCACCACTGTTTTAAGTCAGGTGCGTCTTTATCAATATATATCTGATAACCAGTCAGTTTCTTAGGCACACTAATTGTCTTCAGTGCGTATCTTGATAAGGCTCCAGAATCTATGTGCGTGTCCTCAAGTGTCGGGAAAACAATGGATCCATCTTCTGAAAAAAATTATAGAATATTGAATATTTAATAGTTAACCATTGCATTATAAAGGGAGGAGATGGTCCGGGGTGGCGGTCATAAATTGGCTAAATAGTGGTGAAACTATTTTATTAAAAGCCGACGTTTCGACCAGACTTGGCAGGTCTTCTTCAGGGCTAGAACGGATAAGATACAAACGATAGAGAATTGGGTTAGTTACATAATATTTAGACAAAATTTATAAACAATGAGAAAAAGCTTATTGAAATTATAAACAGTAAGTATATTAAAATATGTACAGAGTAAGCTAAGTAACAAGATCCTAAACTGAAGTAAATAGATGCTAACAATTGTTATAGTGTAATGTATAATAAATACAAATGTGAATACACTTCTACAGATCTGCAGGAGAGATTGAAAGAAAAGGAAAAAGGATATAATATGAACTAATTGACATAAAGGAATGCGGAGAAAGAAAAGAAAAACAAAAATTAAATAAACATTATTCTTCCATTTTATTTACTTATTTATTTGATTTTTGGTTTTCTTTTTTCTTGTTAATCCTATTATTGTTAATTGGTTCTTATTGTTAATCCTATATAATTGTATAATAATTTTAAATAATGTCTGTAGTGATTAATGCTGTGTTGTTAGCAACCCAATGTAATTGGGCAGCACCATTTTATTTTATGATAATAAAGTGATTCTCTCTCTCTCTTCTCCACAATCCATTATGTCTATTATTTCATATTATATCCTTTTTCCTTTTCTTTCAATCTCTCCTGTAGATCTGTAGAAGTATATTCACATTTGCATTTATTATATATTACACTATAACAATTGTTAGCATCTATTTACTTCAGGATCTTGTTACTTAGCTTTCTCTGTTCATATTTTAATATACTTACTGTTTATAATTTCAATAAGCTTTTTGACATTGTTTATAAATATTGTCTAAATATTATGTAACTGCCACAATTCTCTATCTTTTTGTATCTTGTCCGTTCTAGCCCTGAAGAAGACCTGCAAAGTCTGGTCGAAACGTCGGCTTTTAATAAAATAGTTTTACCATTATTTAGCCTATTTATGATTGCCACCCCAAACCATCTCTTTTCTTTATAAAAAAATATAGGGTAAACTGTTATCCATTTAATTAATGTGACGATTCCATCATAAAAAAATCTGTAAATTTCGGAATGTTTTATTATTTCCAAACAAATATATATCAAAAGTAACATTACTTTCCTTGTAACAGAAGAAAAAAATAAATAAAAGGTTATTCCTAATATTGACCTAAATAATTTTTTATTCTGTCATTAGCAATTTTCTCAGAAAAATAAAACACATGGTTCGGCTGATGTAACACTTTCAGGATATTAAAAAACAAAACAGAGGACATAAGCTTTGCCTTAAAAATATTTTTTTTAAACATATCTTTGCTCCAAATTGTCCGATTTTAACGATTTTTTTTTTTTTAATATTCCAGGAAATTTCGTAAACTTTTAAATGACTATACAACAACGCAAAAAGCATACACTTTTTGAGATATTCGGAAATGTCATTTTACGACCCCTCGTAACTTACTCCCAGCTTCTTTTTGTTTAAGTGTGTTCTATACATATATTTAAAGGGCATCGAGGAGAATACTTTAGCCAAGTTTCATTGAAATCGTTACGTTCGTTTAAGTGATACATCCTATAGCAACACAGTTTTTTCACCCGCCATTTTGAAAACAAACGGCGGATATTAATGTCGAAGTAGGAGAATTATCCTCGGGGGACCTCTGACTTCGATTCCAAATTTGATAAAAACTGGTCCTGTAGTCTATGAGAAAATGCACGGACGGCGGACAGACAATTTTATTTTATTCAATTTTCGAGTTCCACGTATCCTGGAACGTAAAACTTCAAAACTCTAGTGGAGGGTTAAGTTTATGAATTTTTTGGACTATTACAATGGTTCATTATTGAAAATAACGAACAAAAAAAAACTTAGACGTTCTCGTGACAACTTGTTGCAGACAACAGATAACGTAAACAATCATCGGGAATAGTTCGTCAAAAAGGCAAACATGTCCATCTATTCTGGATGAATCGTCAATAAATATATCATCGGTTTTATTACAAAAAGTCATTAAGTAACATTTTAATGAATTTGAGGTAATGGAATTTGAAGTTTCTGATTCATTAAAAAAATACTAAAATAGCATTTTGATTATTTATGTTTTGTTATTTGAATTTCTTAATATGTATTATGTTTCCGAAAATTAATTAAAATACCAAAATGTTTTTAAAATATTCTTAAAATTCGAATAAAATTTTATATTCTTATCTTTATTATTATAATATTGATGTTTTAAAATACATAACAACTATAAATATTCTAAATTTTATCGGTTTGATGCTGTAGAATCCGATTACTAATGTTTTTTTTTTTTTTTTGTTTTTTCGTTCTTTCAAGGTTACAAAGATTTTCATTCACAACTGTATATTACAAATTCTCACACCATATTTATAAATAATATACAGTGCAATTTCTTTAGGAAAAATTAACTTCAATGAGAACATTGAAAAAGTCTATGATGGTCATTATAGCTAACGACGGATACAAAAGAGACCAACTATTATTACAAAAGATAATTAAAACACTTTATTTTTCTTGTCGTAGTTTTTAGATTCGGTGCCATTTTTTTATGTTTTTATATAGCATTAGGCCAAAGGTCACAAACAATAAACGTTGTTTACATTATGTATTATTTATTCAACATTTTAGCTTCTCAAGATTTTCAAGATTCTGCAAATAAAACTTAATTTAGTTATTTTATTTTAAAATATATCATTATAAAACACATAATAGTTTATAAGAAATCTGTTACATACATAATCCTTATTCAGTTTTAGAAGACAATTTTTTTTTTTTTTGTATATAATATATCAATTTTAAAATATTTTGGTTTGAAATTAATGCAAAAATTATTTACCAACCAATTTTAAATAAAAAAAAAGTATATCAAGCAGTTCATGGTAGGTAGATATGTTTACTTTCACTTACGTATATATTTTCTTTAATTTTAAACCTAAATATTCAAAAATTGTTGTTATATTTAAAAAAAAAAAATTATAAAATAGAATAAGAATACGATATATCAATGGCTATGTATGTGACTGATTGTTTATAAATTATTATGTGTTTTACAATGATATATTTTAAAGTAAAATTACTAAATTAAAGTTTGTTACCAGAATCTTGAAAATAACTCAAGAAGCCGAAACGTTGAATAAATAATACATAATGTAAAAACGTTTATTTTTGGTTACCTCTGGCCTAATCATTTAAAAAAAAAAAACGTAAAATACTTAACATATACATAACATAATGACATTTTGCACACTACAATAGTTTAAACAAAACACTAACTTAGCTTTATAACTTTGTAACTATGTACTTACAAAGTTATAAAAGTAACTTACCTCACTTCGTTAGTTTCATTAACCATATGATCAATTAATCCAGTGAAAGAAGTACCAAATAGTGACTTATTTGCTCTGTAAAATAAGAACATCGTGCACATAGTGATTTTTTTTGTTTTGCGTATAAAAGGATTGGTAAGCACTGTATGAGTTATTGTATCGATAAATATGATCGACTTCGTACCTTCAGGTAAAAATTTACCAAAAGTTTTACTCAGTGACTTTTTACAATAAATCGACGATATATCAATGGCGCAATGAACATCATTCAGGATAATACTAAAGATTTGACATCAGATTAGGGAAGATTTATTGTTTTCTTTTATATCTTTAAACAGAGTATTTTATTGTTTTATCACCGATTACTATTTCCAAGCAGCTCGTAATAGCCTTCAAGATTTTACTGCGTAAATTCAGGTCATGTCTTGATTAGTACTTCCTTATAAGCAGTTCCTGAATAGACCCGTTACCTGTCACAGGCCTAAGACAATGGAATGGTTATTTTGTTAACCTACCAAGGCATCCTTCTGTATCGCCGATGGAATAGGAGCTTATTTCTTGTTTTTTACTCTGATTCTTTTATCATTGTTTATATTTATAAATACTTTTTATTGTTTGAATATGCAATTTCAAAGTTTTTACTAAATTAAGTTTTAAACCAAACATGTGAGTAAATATAATAATTAATTAGAAAATGATACAATGTATTCGGTTTTGTTTTGTTTAATTACATCTATTCCATTTATTTTTAAGTTTTAGGACGGCCCATAACGTTTAGCAGGAAATTCTTAATACAGTTTTTTTTTTTTTTAAGCTATCAACCTATTTTCTGACTATAATTCAGGTATTGTAAATACGATCTTGATTTTAATCATGATTATAACAAGGAGAGGCTCAAAAGCAGCAGTTGTCCAGTGAGGCAGAATTTAGTGGGCGCCAAATTTTATTTTTAGATGAAAATTATGTGTTTCACTTTTTGATTATTTTGACCTTAAATAGTTTTAAAAAAGCATGGGTCATGTATAGATACCCCTCCATTTCTGATGGCTAGAAAAATACCATTTTTGATGTTCAATGATTTATTTTTGGCAATAACCAATGAGACTAGTTTTTTTTTTTAATATAATCGTATAGAGTGTTGAACTTTCTGAGTACCAACCTGAAATATCTCTGAAAATCATTTAAAACCGATAAACAGTAAGAGGTATTTGTTGTGCAGACTTCTGGCAGATCGACAGACTGATACGATACTAAATTTCTTTTTTTTTATGTCTAAAACATGAAACGTGACTGAAAATTTGGTAGTGAAGGAGAAAAAAATTATTTATTATGATAAAGTTATGGTATTTATTTCGAAATATACTACCAAAAATACTTTTATGAAACATGAAACAAAGTTTGAAAAAATTAAA